AAATATTTATCCTGCCCACGACTATTTCACAGAAATTTTTACTATAGTCCAGTGTTTTTGTTAGATGTGTGATGTTTTAATAAATAATCAAAATCAAACTATACCTATTAGAATACAATAAGAAATTAACTTTGTGAAGCCTTGATATTGCTTTAACTTTTTACAACTACTGTCTCATCAATGCAAAATGATTTTGGATAATGAGTATGTGATACATCCACGTAAACTGGAGGTTTTGTTTGTCAGTGTGCATGTGACAGACCAGCTCTAGGCAAAGGAGGATGGACAGAAAATAGGTATCAGGTGCACATGTACAGAAACACAGTTAAAAAGGCAAGCATTCCTGGTTTTGCAAATGAGAACAACAGATCCCGAACAGTGAAAAGCACGTTTTCACTTCAGATAATGGGCATTTTGCCACCAACTTTGAGAGAACCAGGACCTTACTCCAGAGTTTCACCAAGACACAATGAAGTCAGTGGAAAAGTCCCATGAGAAAACAGTGGACTGCCACATCACTCTCCAGAGCTGCGCTGTTCTTTATAATATTAGTGACTCCTGAAACTAATATTTTGACAAAAGGTGCTGATAACTAGCTCTGCTGCTTTTAGAACTGAAACAGTTACAGTTTCTCTTTTATTGGCCTTTTCAGTATAATTTTACACCAGACTGTATGTGTGTGTGTGCACGAGAGAGAAGGAAAGCCTTCTTTAAGCATGGCACATGAAAAGATGCTATCTAAAATAAGACCATGAAAGTAAACTTGAACAAAACTATTTCAGACACCAGTACAAAAAGACTTGTTTACTTCAACTTCAGCATGACTTCTCATGCAACTAATAATTCATATGGAATATGTGACATGGAGATAATACATTACACAGTGCCTTTATAAATAAGGGTTTATGTCAGACATAAGAATCTTCACAGCTGCCAAGCAGCAAGTGCAACACAAGTCACATGGACTGAACAGCCATGGAGCAGATTAACATAAGTATCTTTTCAGAGAAGAAGGAAAAATGTAAGTGTCATCCATTGTAAATGAGGAATTAAGTCCTGCTAGTCCACCCTTTCCCCACTTGAATATCTCCTAAATCTTGGAGAATGGTGAAACAATGATACTGTCTTCTGTGTAGAAAGCACTGAAGAAAATAAAGACCAACACCACCACTGCAGCACAGAAGATTAAATGTCCTCACATTGCTTTCCACCATTCCAAGAGGACAGAACCCAAATGAAGTCATACACCACTGTACTGAACTATGTATCTGCATCAACCAGATGCAAACTGGAAGCAACAGCGATGGTATGCTCCAACTTATTGACTTCTCCACACTTGACAAACGAAACCAGACAAGGGGAATACCATGATGTCAAGAGAGAGCTCAGTAACATACAAAGAGAGAAAAATTTATTAATTCCTTGCAATCCTGTCTGCAAAAGCAGAATGCATGTGTCCTTTGTTGAGTTCCCTTTTTTTCCCCCAATATCAGCAACATCTTGCCATGCTTGTTGTGAGGCTCGAATGAGGCACCTAGACACGTCCCTTGAGCAAGGGAGATGTTATGTAGCTGGATATGTGCACAACCCAGAAACCACGAAGCTTCTAAATCTTCTGACAGCAAGGGCAGTAAACACCCAGTCAAGCCACAGTTTGAGGACTGCAAAAGCAGATAGTCAACAACCCTTCTGCAGCACACACATGGGAATCTGTGCACATCTCTTCACTCTTAACACACATCCATAACAGGACAGTCTGGCCGACAGAGGTAAACGGGCCATGGATAACAGACAGGAGTGGCCATGGTCATGACATGCAGTCAGCACAGTGCAAGAAAAAGCACTTTTCCTTCAGTATTTCACTCTCACCCTACTTTGATAACACATTACCAAAATGTCCCTTTTCCAGCCCTAAAACCTACCCTTCCAGTGCCTGTCACGTTAGCATGCCGATGGTATAACTGGGATTTATACCAGTTCTGTAAAAGAATCCTCTGCTGTGGGTGAAAAAGCTAGATGAAATGTGCAAAGTTACTCCTCTTCTAATTACTCCAGAAATCTGCATGCTAATGTGATACAATAATAATTAGCATTGCAAAGTAATTAAACTGTGTAAACGCCTGCAAGAGGGAGCAAAACTTGCACACTTTGAATATGCTTTGACTGAAAGCACGTGAGCAGCCCCACCAAAGGACTGCAGTGCTGATGTTCTGCCAGTACTAAAATGTCAGTGCAGACAAAGTCTTTGTCCTTTCTAACCACAGAAGCACAGCAAAGTGGGGTTGGCAAGGACCTCACGACATCACTTAGCTGATCTGCTGCAAGGCAGGACTGACCCATACTCATGTCATTCCTGCCAGACCATAGTCTAACCTCTTCTTAAAGGCCTCAAGTGGTGGAGACTCCACAACCTACTCAAGCATTGCGAGATCTCTTCCCAGGATCTGACTTGACTCTTTCCTACTGCATTTTAAATCCATTACTCTTTACCCTTTGGCACACACAGCAGTTTATTCCTCATATACCATTATTCATACACAATTATAAGCTATTATCGCATCCCTCTGTCCCTGACTTTTCTTCTGCAGGCCAACCAATCCCATTCTTCATTAGAAGTGATGTTATCTAGATTTGTGATCGTTCCCACAGCTCTTTCCTGAACTTCCTCCAAATGTTTATTCTTGAAGCGCAGTGCCCAAAACCGGACACTGTGTTCCAGCTGAAATCCTTCCAACACCAGGACATGTCTTGCACGTTCTCCTGTTTAGTTACTCCAGTAAAACACTAGTATTTTCAAAACAGCTTGACATTAGTGACTAATATTCAGACCGTGATTCACAATAAGCTCCACATAGTTTTTCAAGGAAGTATCAAAATTGCAAAACGGTCTTATAGTTATAAAGGTGTCCTTCTTGCCTAAGTATACCTCTCTGTACTTAACTCAGTGACAATCAAACATTTTTTCAACCAGTCAGCATAATTCTGAATTCAAGCCTTGTTTCCCAATGTTTAAGCAGCCTTCCGCATCTTCATATCATCTAACAATTCAACACTCATACTCCATTCCACCACTGAGGTCATTAATGACAATAATGATGAAAAAAAGACCAACCCCCCCCACACTTCAATATATCTTTCCATTAGAATGATGGACCATTGATAACTGCTATTTGGTATGGCAATGCAATTAGTTTTGCGTAGACTACACAGTGGTTTCTCCAAAGACACATTTCCCTTGATTGTGTACGAAGCTGTCATACACATTAGTGTCGAAAACCTTACTAGAAGTTAAGCTCTTTGGCCTCTGCTGTGTCTTCCTTAGCTACGGGACTTGCTGCTCAGTTGTAGAAAGATATTTTCAAGTTTTGAAGTCACGTTGGCTGTTACTGAAGTCCATGATCTCCTTCAGGTGCTTACAAATAATTTGTTCCAGTTTTTCAAAGAGCAAAATTATTTCCCTGTAATTCTCTTTTACCTCTTTATAGACAATATACTTTTTCTTTCCCACTCTTCCAGCACTTGACCTGTCTTCCCTGGGTTCTCAGAAGAAACTACAAATGCTTCTGAGATTGCTGTAGCCAATGCCTTAAGTAACTTAGAATTAAGTTTTTCAGGCACAGCTGATCCAAAAGTATTAAATATATCTGAATACATTCTAACCTGTTCCATTCTAACACTGTAAGTGTGTGTGAGGATGCATCTAGTATGACTCAAATACATCAGTAAGAGTAGTTCTGATTCCTGATTTAAAATTTAATACAATTTGTCTTCAAGTTAAGCTATATATTCCCTTAAATCATGAAGCACTCATACCTTCGTTCATTGTCATCAAGATGAGCAAAGAGCACGTTCTTGGAGATGGCCTTTGCCAGAGCAGTCATAGTTTTATAGTCCTTTGGAATAACCTGTAGGAAAAGGAAAAGAATGAAGGGTAATCACATGCCTGGTTCTACATCTCCATGGATCTTGAAATCTATAGAAAATTCCACTATTCGAGATAATGGATGCAGTTTGATTTCAAACACCGAGACAGGTTTAGGCTATAATATAAAGCCACTAAGAAAGAAATAAATTACAGTTTTGGTAATGTGAGGATAAGAATTTATGTTCTCAACTTGACAACCAGAAAAGAAATATAAGATCCAGGATGAGTGGCAAAAAGCATATCCATAAAATACTATGATTAGCAGGTACTGGTAGCTGTGTAGTCTCCTGGACTGAGGAAAATATATTTCATAATCTTCTTGCCCCACAAACAATATAAGAAGGAACCTACTTTTAAAACTAGGGAATAAGCAACATTTCTTAAGGTAAAAGGTAAAAAATGTGCTGATTACACCACACTTTTCAGCACTGGTTGTGGCATAGGGAATGGAGTTCCTCAGAGGTTATCCTGGGTCAAAATCCTGCACATTTTTTGCATTTGAGAATAAAGAGACATTTTTATGTGTGAACTGGGGAGAAGGCAAAAGTCCCATTGTACATGAATTTGCTCAAAATATATGTTGAAATTCAGGAGTATGTTTTCATATAGGGTGAAGTTTTTTATAAGACTTTTGAAAGTTAGGCTTTCCATTTTGGTAAGATATTAGTAAAAACATCATATCTCTGTATTTGCCAAGCATCATCTTCTGCCAGTCAGAGACTCACAAAGCTAAATCTCCTTTGATTTTCTCTCCAGTGACGTAACTCATTGCACTGCCTTTAGCACTACTCATTCTATAGTTCACTCCTTCAAGGGATCCCTTACATTGGCTTATGACCCAGATGTGCTTCTATCCAACACCTGAATTCAAGCCAGTGCTTCTTCCTGGCTGCTATCTAAAAATCCATGTTTGCAATAGCCTAACACAACCCTTGCCTTGCTTTTTACACTTTTAAATTAGTTTCATAATTCGTCATTTTCGGGTCTCCCTTTATTTCTGTATTCTGGAAATCTCTGTCACAAACACACATCCATGGGACTCACCATGGCATTCATTTGCTGACAGCAGAAAACAAAGCACTGACACAAACCCTCACAGTGCTAGTTCTATGTTCCTCACAGCATCTGTAGCCTGAGAATAAACCATCCCCTAAATTACTATTATTTAAGCTCAGTCAGTTCCTAGTAAATTAAAATCATAACAGCCCTAGTCACAGAACACACAGAATATGATCTGTATTGTTTCTTCTGGCTCTTGCCTACCCATGCTACTGTCAGGGCTTATTGGCATCACTGTTGAAAAAGGAAGAAGAAAAAGTTAACTTCAGGTTCCATTATAAACATGAAAGAATTACTCAGTGGTGTGGGAAGGAGTATTTCCTTTGATTTTCAGAAGAGTCAGATGGAGCCCATATTAAGCAGAGACAAATGTGATTTCTCCATGGAAGTTTTTAAGGGTTTTTAAGGGATATATTGCAAACTGTACAGAAAGAAAAGTGCTTGAAAGTGGCTTTTAAATATCATGCAAGTTTTAACACTGTAGTGCATTAATAGCTTGATCACAGTGCTGTTAAAATTTACTGTATACTTGGAAGCATTATTTAACTGCCAAAAGAATACTCCATACTTGTTTTTAGGATTAAAGGCTCTCCTAATTCTTTGTTTCTTGGGACAGAAATCCCCAGAGCAGCCAGTGAACTTGTATCGTAAGTGGGTGACAAAAGCACATCTGACTGCAAAGGCAAAAAGTATTCTGCCAAAAAACAGTGACTGACAAAATGTATTCCCATAAAGCAAAAACTCTTTGGGTTAAAGCTACTCCAGGCGTGCACAAAAGCACATTAGTAGCATCTGTCAACCTTACGAAACGCATTTTTAGCCTAGCTCCCTAAACAAACATGACATATGCTATTGTAAAGTCTGTCTTTTAATAACCTTTGAAAGCTTTGGCCAGTTTAAAAACAAACCAGAAGAGTTAGTGAGATATCCAGGATATAACATAGCCAGGTATTTTTGTGAAAAAGGCAGTTAAGAAAAAAAGAGAAGCCCAAATTAGTGCTCCTACTGAAAAAAATAGCCTAATTTGGGATTGGCACTTCTTCAAAGGCAATGGTCACATAAGATTGCTCAAGTATGGTCAACAGACTTCCAAAAACCTATGGATTAGGTGGTACCCAGTCAACAAAGGAACCACGTGCCTGAATGGCCTAGGGAACCTAAATGACCTAAGTTAGAAGAAAACTTGAGCTAGAAGTGACTTTAGGAAAAAAAAGCTGGAAATGCACCAGTAGAAAAGGTTGCTTTTCTATTTTGGCAACTGTGAGGTTTTGACAAAACTCAGAAGCTGCCTGAGTCCATGACTATCAAGAAAACGGCTGAGAATTACCCACCTTGCTAAAGGGGGAGACAGATTGGCAGCACATCTCAAAGACATCAACACTGAGGGAGAACTTACTTAGTCAAGGAGACAGCAAAAGAACATGAGTGTGAAGAAGATGGTCAAGCCATGCATATGCCAGCATGTGAGGACATCATCCTACTAGTTGACCCATGATCTCAAATTATGAGCAAAATAGAGTTACTCAATTGTCCTGTACATCTCCAAATCAGACAGACAGCAACACATTACCTTTCTGACGTAAGAAACAGCATCCTCCTCTGTGTACACTTCTGCACTGACCCCTCCTCTCCTGCGTCGGGCTTTTACCACTGGGTTGGGAGGAGGAGGGGAAATCTCATCATCATGAGAATCAGACTGGGAGCTGGATTTCTGCCGAGCCAGTATTTGTTTGCATTCTTCCTGCAAGGCAAAAAGAGACAATGAAACAACTCTTACCCATGTAGCTAACTTGCTGGATAAACTTGATTCACTCTTCTTCTACAACTCTCAGCTCTACAACTCTCAGTTCTACAACTCTCTTCCTTTCTACATTTGGATGACTGTGAATTCCTGTGTACTGCTGAAAGAAAATGAAAAATTTATTGTGAGCAGCATGAAGGGCTGACACTAACTACAATGTGTGCACAGGTATCAATCACTCCAATACTTGACCTATTCTTTCTTACGTGCAGTGGAAACCAATGCATTATAAACTCCAAACATATCATTGCAGCTACTCCAGGCTGAGAAAGCAAAAGAACAAGCCTCTTTTGCTTACTCTCCAACATCACAGCTGTTATTTTCTCAGTTGGCTTGTACATATCTTTGTCTCTTGTACAGAGAACATCTCAGAAGTCACATGTGAATATATTAGGTAGGTTTCTTTCTCTTGCTTTGCTTTGCAGGCTGACTATCCCCAGAAAGAACAAAGATGCTCCCTACTCCAGAGCTTCTGCCATGTAACAGATTTACAATCAGTGGGACTACATCCAAGCAAAATGAGATCCAAGGTAGGCTCTAGAGAACTATGAAAAATAAAAGCTGGCCTAGCACCAGCTGGCCAATAGGGAGGTTATTCTCCAAATTTCATGCCTATGAAACGGAAAGTAAAATACAGAGGAATCACTGAAGAGATAGTAACAAGGGCAGGAAACAGTATAGAAAACCTTCAAGAAAGGATGTCCGAGTTGCAAGACAATGTCAATTCATACACTGAAATATTTGACTTCTAAAAAATTAAGACAAACAAGATTACTCATAATTACAGTGTTTTCCCAGAGCCCATCTCCCGTTCTTCAGCTGCCTGGGATTCAAGTGAAAGCACACAGGAGTAAAATTCCTTTTGCATCATCCAAGTCTATCAGTCAAAGGAATGGGGTGCTGTCTGCTCATTCCCAGCCCACCTCCCTGTCCCCTGGTACCACCTCAGCCTGGCACCCTGCTCACAACACACCATGCTGCCTTTGCTGCCTCTTCAGTGCCTTCTTGGCTGGTTCCTTCCAGTCTTCTGCTGTCTAAGGCAGGGGAGAACTGGAGATGGGAGGGACCACGTGCCCTGTCCTCAGCTTGTCTGATACAGGAATCTGAAGGGCACGTGCAGCCTACTGAAAAGGCAGTAATGCTGAAGTCCCTCCACATCCCATAAAGCCAACGTTCATTCGACAGGGATGCCAGAGCATGGCCTCTGTCTTACACAATTCATTTCCAATAACATTTTCCAATCAGAGCTAATACATGGAGTCAGTAGAGGGGGGAGGATCTGGGAGCACCAGTGCCAGACGTGGCAGATTACCAGCATCGCCAGTTGGCCTCATTGACAGAGGAAATGAGTTACAGTTAACTCATCAGGTATGACACCAGAAAAGAGTAGTACAGAAAACTGGCACAAGTTCACGATTTTTAAGCTTGCAAGAAAAACAGATGATTAATGTATGTTTTGCCATTGATGTTTACAAATGTCTGTCAAACCCAGTCCTGACGCTTGTCTCTTCTAGTCTTATTCCAATTTCTTTCCTTACCATCACGGACATTGCCCCTCTCATTAACCTAAGGATCCTTTGACACCAATCTTGGATGTATTATTGCTACCTGAAATAACTAAATAGTGTTTCCCATGCTGTGTAATTCAAAGTAACAAGTCACACATTCTTGTTTTGATTAAGAGACTACTGAAATATCTAAGAGACAAGCACAGAGATAAGATGTAGAGGGCTGGCTCAAGATTTGACTTTTCAAGGTCCTGACCTGCCTCAGAAAGTGCCAGGTTCTTCCTGGATCAGTATTTTTTTTCTAAATTGGGATTACAACACTGCAACTCCTGGGCCATAACACAATCGAGATAGGTGCTGTAACAAAAAAAAATAATAAAAAAACCCCAATCAAACCCTGAATTCAGATGTATTAAATCCTTACTGGAACTTTTTCACTTCCAGTTCAAATTTCCAATAGCAGCACTGGATATGTGAAAAATGACTCAGCGAGATTTTCCTACCACGTTAAGAACTGCAAGTCCTGTTTAAGTATTCTCATCAACTCCTTCCCCACATACAAGTCCTCTCAAACTGCCTCTAGCTTCCTTAACTACAATTATGCACTTGCAGAAACACAAACATTTAACATAAAAGTATGTGTGCTACACATTATCATTATTAATAACCAGTCATCAACATCAAAACTATGACTGAAGAATTTTAAATAATATTGCTGTCTATTGCAGCTTATATGTCTCTTTGATAACACTAATGTTCTCTGTTTACATTAAATGAACATAACCAAATGCACCTTCTTCATAAGTTTAACTGAAAGGTAATGAACACCATTCTGGAGAGTAAGCAGCTGAAAGTATACTGAAAGATAACTACAACAAGAAGTCAGTCAGGTAACTATTTAATGATATGCAGCACTTACACAGTTCTTTTCATATATAGCATATTTACTTATAAAGATGAGCAGCAGTTTGCCCCATTTGAATATCAAACATACACTTCTTTTTCAGTACAGATTGTATAAAAGCACTTCCAAGGAATTGATAAATAATATCTCCTCTGCCCCAGCACAGATTTATACATGAAAGAGAGCTCAGTGAGATAAAACTAATATCACAAAGCATGCTCTTAAACACAAATACCTTTTAAAGCCAAAAAGATATTAAAGGATTATAAAAGTGAGTTACCATATGATTCATTTTAAAAGGAAGTCTCTTCACTACAAACTCCTTTTATATAAACAGCAGATAGTTGACTGGCTGGCTTTTCTATATGCCGCTATTTGTAGTCTAGTTAGGATTTCCATTACTGAACTAAAGAGTGCCTTTTGAAAATAAAAGCGTATGCTCTGTCCTGGGTTAAGCTTTCAAAAACCCATCTTCCATATATCCTGGGGTAAAACTGCACAAATATAGCAAATATTTTAAAGGAGGAATGGACTCTCTGAAGAACAGTTCTTCAAACACTGATCTTCAGACACAGCTTGATGTGAACGCTTGAGCAGAACTCACTTTCAAGTAAACACCTCACCATCTTTTGTTGTCATGACAACAAGCGATCTCACTCTCTATTCGAATGGCACAGATAATTCACAATCATATTGCCCAATTATGTCCACCTTAAAATGAGAAAACACATGGAAGACACAACTGAAAAACAGTGTCATTGCCTTTGAGCAAGCCCCAGCGAGCATCTTGTGCTCCCCTTCACACCTGTAACTGCTCTGGCTTCAGTGGAGACACTCCTGACTCCCAGGTCATGTAGGGTCTGCTCCAGCTATCCACAGTCCAGTGCCACTTCGGGTGACCTTGCTCAGCTTTCAGCTGCCAGCTGAGGAGGACACAAGTCTCACGCTGTCTTGTGTCACATCTACAAGCCTTATGAGGAGCGGCTGAGGGAACTGGGGTTGTTTAGCCTGGAGAAGAGAAGGCTGAGGGGAGACCTCATCACCACCTACAACTGCCTCAAGGGAGGTTGTAGAGAGGTGGGTGCTGGTCTTTTCTCCCAGGTGATGGAGGATAGAACAAGGGGAAATGGCATCAAGCTGTGCCAAGGCATGTTCAGGTTAGAGATAAGGAGGAAGTTCTTTACTGAGAGGGTCGTCAGAAGCTGGAACAGGCTGCCCAGGGAGGTGGTGGAGTCACCATCCCTGGATGTATTTAAAGAGCGGGTAGACGAGGTACTTAGGGATATGGTTTAGGGAGTAGACAGGAGCGGTTGGACGTGATGATCTCGGAGGTCTTTTCCAACCGAGCGATTCTGTGATTCTGTGATACCAGCCTCAGTGGGCATCACACATAATTTAGGGAGTCTTAAATGGCAGGAGGGAACCACGTGTGCACCACTGACTGAAGTCTCCAGCCTCACTGCCACAGTCCAATACAATGATATATTAACACACCCCAAATCTACAAACCAACATTGCTGTGTGACAGTAACACCCTATATCATACATACATAACCTAATCCTAGTTCTGTTTAAACCATGTTGCAAGTGACCAAAAGCATAGCTAAAGTTGTGAACAAAGTCTTTCCTGGGATTTCTGGGGAAGATTGATTGGGAAACCGGAATATCGTCACTGACTTCAATGATAATGAACTGGAAAGGAAAGAAAATGTACCAACATTGCCTCAAATTAAACGAAGAGCCAATAAATACAACTGCAGTGACCCATTTATTTTTTGAATGTTCACCTTCAGTGAAGACATTTGTGCTACAAGATGCTGAGGTATAAAACACAGGAATTCAGCATGCTGTCCCCAGCATATGGGGTCATTGTGTTTTCCAATTAATGTTTCCACAAGTTTGTAATGAATTTACACACTGCAAGGGAAGCAGCCACAATGCTGAGCCAGTTTTTAGGTTTACCCTTCCTTTCAGAACGCTGTCGAGGAGCACAGACGCTTCCTGACCCAGAGGCTTTCTTTTCTATCAGCCAGAGCATCTCCAAACAGAAATTCACTTGCAGTAGTTCCTGTCCCAGTCTCTCCTTTCAGACTCTGTCACCACCTGGAAACTCCTATGTTTCAGCTGAAGGAAGAACAACACCTGAGGAGGCTCCAGTCACTGCGCAGCCTTACAACAACATCCCAAGGAGACTTTTAAAAGCAAGTCATCCATTCAGTCTCACTGCTCACTATTTCTGCTCTGCCTCCTACAATTTATTCACTGCATTCAAAAGCAACAACACAAAGCACACTCGAAACGAAATATTTTCTCTTTTTATTTTCCTCCTCAAAAGCACTCATAAAGTTTTCCGACTGACAGACCTGGAATCCGCTTTCTGTTTATCCACAGAAAATGTGCAGGATACTTCATGCGCGCGTAACTAATCTCTCTTTGCACTGGAATTGACCCAGAGGAGATGCTCTCAATAAAGGAAGGTTTCTAACACCACCTCATCACTCCTGGAGGCTGACACAATGATTTATAGCAACTAATAGAGGCCAGAGGCAAAGTACTCCACTTTGTTGGAAGCACAGGACTGACTGATGCCATCAACTGAAAGCCAGAGAAATTTGGGAGGTCTTAATGTCCTTTCCAGCCTTGTCTTTGTCAGGATGGACAACTCTACTATCTCCACGATAGTTCAGCCTTGTAACAGGAAATGTTTCACACAATCTCAACTATTTTTCCACTGCCTTCCCGATGTGAAATGCCACCTTTTATTCTACAGCATCACTAAGCCACCCCTCCTACTAACATATTTATCCACTCCATAGTTATCCACCTACATAGTTATCCACTACTACTGTGTCCTCCTCGGTGGCCTCTCTGCATCTCAGTTCACTCCCAATTTCCAACATAGGCAAAATTATCCTACCAAAAATCCGCCTACTCTTCTACCACTCTGACTGCATCGCTTGCCTTCTCGAGTCCCTTTACTGGGGTCCTTTTACCTCCGGCAACAAGCTGACACCTCTTGTCTTCCCCTCCAGTGTCTTGCAGTATCTCGACTCATCACCACCTCTTCCCCACTCTCTTACAAACACCTCACAGTAAAGTAAGAGAGGTTATGCTACAAAACACAGACCATATTTTTGATGCTTAAAAGCTTATATAACCAAAGAAAACCATAGCCAACATTTCTGATTTTTTTCAAATCCAGCCAAATAACAATGTGTGCACGCTTATCTTTTATAAGAAGAAATATGCCCACAGAAAAGCTCTAGTTCTACTAGATAAATACAAATTAAACTAATATGTTAAATATCATGCCGTAGTTTTCAGCAACAACCAGACACCTAAGTCACTCTGAAGTTTTTAATCACTGGATATGTAATGCCAAAGCTGCTTATTTATTTTTTATTCTAGCGTTCTAACACAGCAGATCCTTAATCCAAGAGAAACACCACCAATCCCTGTGAGATTTACATGTGAGAGGCAGATATGGACTATCAAGAGCACAGGAAGAGATAGTTGTTAATTGAGGTTACCAACAAAGAGGGAATCATAAATGCTAGTATGCCATTTTGCTCCTTAAAATACTTCTGTTGTATAGGTCCACTTAACATTTAGAAGCATACTGATGCCCTTTGATCAAACATGCTGTTGACAGCAAGAATGGCTATTCAACATCTTGTGTTTCCTCAGTCACTTCAGAGTGGAAATAATCTCTAAAACATTTCTACATTTTCTACTTCTCAATAAAATTCTATTCAATTTATCCTCTCTTCTAAGAAACTATCCAATGTTAAAACAAATACGAAAATATGTGTGCTGGGCTGCCCACTATAAATATACACTCAGCTTTTTTTTTCACTCTTTCATCCTCCTCCCTTCCACCTTCACTGCATTTCTGAAACCCAAAACAACTGCCCTGTGCTATGAGTGCCTTCATTGGTGCAGGGGTATCAAGGCTAGATAGCAACTTAAATTGCACCCTCAGTCAAGAATCCATGTGTCCCCCTTAACCCTTCAGTGGAATGCTCACAGCTCATTAAGCATTTTTTCTTCACAATTTGCCAATAAATCCAAATTAAAATAATTATGGCCATGTTTTTATTTCCAGTTTCCCACTCCGTTTCACTCTCTCCGTTCACCG